TCCAAGACAGTCCTGAAGTTGGGGAACTTGTGTTAATATATGCTGTCATAACTATAAAGGGAAGGGTAACAGCTCTCCTGTGTACAGTACTATAAAATCCCTCCTGGCCAGAGACTCCAAAATCCTTTTACCTGTAAAGGGTTAAGAAGCTCAGGTAACCTGGCTGACACCTGACCCAAAGGACCAATAAGGGGACAAGATATTTTCAAATCTTGGGGGGGGGGAAGGTTTTTGTTTGTGCTCTTTGTTTAGGGGGTTCACTCTTGGGACTGAGAGGGACCAGACATCAATCCAGGTTCTCCACATCTTTCTAAACAAGTCTCTCATATTTCAAACTTGTAAGTAAACAGCCAGGCAAGGCGTGTTAGTTTTCCTTTGTTTTCTCAACTTGTAAATGTACCTTTTACTAAAGTGTTTATCTCTGTTTGCTGTACTTTGAACCTGAGACTAGAGGGGGGTCCTCTGAGCTCTTTAAGTTTGATTACCCTGTAAAGTTATTTTCCATACTGATTTTACAGAGATGATTTTTACCTTTTTCTTTAATTAAAAGCCTTCTTTTTAAGAACCTGATTGATTTTTCCTTGTTTTAGATCCAAGGGGGTTGGATCTGTATTCACCAGGAGTTGGTGGAAGGAAGGAGGGGGGATGGTTAATTTCTCCTTGTTTTAAGATCCAAGGGGTTTGGATCTGTATTCACCAGGGAATTGGTGAAGGTCTCTCAAGGCTACCCAGGGAAGGGAATCAGCTTTGGGATGGTGGCAGCGGACCAGATCTAAGCTGGTAGTTAAGCTTAGAAGTTTTCATGCAGGCCCCCACATTTGTACCCTAAAGTTCAAAGTGGGGAAGCAGCCTTGACATATGCTCTTCCTATGATGGACCTAACCACATCAGCCACACCATCAGGGGCTCATTCACCTGTATATCTACCAATGTGATATATGGCATCATGTGCCAGCAATGCCCCTCTGCCATGTACATTGGCCAAACTGGACAGTCTCTACACAAAAGAATAAATGGACACAAATCAGACATCAAGAATTGTAACATTCAAAAACCAGTAGGAGAGCAATTCAATCTCCCCGGACACTCTATAACAGACTTAAAAGTGGCAATTCTTCAACAAAAAACCTTCAAAAACAGACTTCAACAGGAAACTGCAGAACTGGAATTAATTTGCAAACTGGACACCATCAAATTAGGCCTGAATAAAGACTGGGAGTGGATGGGTCACTACAAAACGTAATTTTCCCTCTGCTGATACTCACACCTTCTTATCAACTGTTGAGAATAGGCCATTTCTACCTTAATTGAATTGGCCTCATTAGCACTGACCCCCCCACTTGGTCAGGCAACTCCCATCTTTTCATGTGCTGTGATATATATACAGCTTACTGTATTTTTCACTCCATGCATCTGATAAAGTGGGTTTTAGTCCACGAAAGCCTATGCCCAAATAAATTTGTTAGTCTCTAAGGTGCCACAAGGACACCTCATTGTTTTTCCTGATACAGACTAACACGGCTACCACTCTGGAACCTGTCAAAATCTCTACAGTATATGAGTACGTGTTTATAGGTTTGGGATCTAAATTAGTAACAAAAATAATATGACAATGTGCCCAACAGAAACAATTTTACAACATTCCCAGAGGATATATACAGAGTTCAGAGATATGCAAGAATTAAAGGGCCTGATTCAGCAAGGTGCCGACTGCTGATGTGCTCAATTGGCTTTATTCGGATTTGAGATTTCCCAGTAACTTTCATGATAGAACCCATCTACACATTTGTGACAGGCTGAGCTGCCCCCTTAAGGATAGTGGCTCCTTTAAGAGTGCAGTCATGGACCACTACTTATTCCAGGGACCCCTTTAAGATTTTGAGATGTCTGATAGGCAAAGACCAAGGAGGCTTTGGGAGAGAGGAAATGGTTCCTGGAATAAGTAGTGTTTAGAAAGAATCCCATTACTGTCTCTTTAAGGTACCAGGAGCCTTGCAGAGTGGGTAGGGCAAAGTGCCTCACTCTCCCAGCCAATTGGGATGAGCTCTAGGAAAGGGACCAGCATATATACTGCATCCTGCCTCATAGCAAGGCAAGGACTGGCAGAAGAAGGCTGACCTGATGAACCCTCCAAAGTGGAGGGCTAATTAGGGGAAAGGATCCAGCTGAAGGAGAAGCTGACTAGGCTTTACTGCTGGCATAAGCCCCAGCTTGGAGGAAGAGAGTTGCGGCAACTCCTGTCTAAAGGAGGGAGATCTTGACAGCCATAAGGCAAGAGTCAAAGAAACTGCCTGAAACACAACCCCAGATCCTGAAGGAGGGAGATACCAATTGCTTTAAGATAAGAGAAAGAGAAACTGTTTGAACTACAGTACATCCCAGCTGCTGGCAGAGAAAGCACCTCTGTAGCTGGCTAAGAAGAAGGCATAAGGAGCCACAAGTCCAAGATGGGGACCTTGTAAAGACCTGGTAAAGGGCAAAGGTAGGAGCAGCAAAGGGACTGGAGGAAAAGTGTGTAGCTGTAAAACAAGATCCCTGGGCTGGATCCCAGAGGAGAGGGTGGGCCTGGGTTCGCCTACTTCTTCTCCAGACTAAGAGGGGAAGTACAGGCATCAGGAGTGAAAGAGGCTAAGAACTATGAGTCCCAGGCAGAGGCCAAGGACTGAGCTTAAAGGCCACTAGACTGAGTTTTCTTATATTTGGATGTTTCTGTTAAACCTGGAAGGGGAATAGATTGACAGGTGACCTGGCTGGAGGCTAAACCTTGGAAGCAACAGAAAATTGTGGAACCAGGACAGATAAACCCTAGACTGAATGAAAGAAACCCTTCAATACAGTGCCTTGAGATGGGGCAGGGTGAAAATGTGCACATGCATGCTCTGACAGTGAGTATGCCATAGCAATATTAATATCAGGAATATTTTTTAATGGTTCTGTTATTTCTATTAGAGTCCTATAAAACTTTTTAGTCTGCAAAACATCTAATGGATTAATTGTACTTCAAGTCTAAAAATAAGACACGGAATTAAGAGTTTTTTTGGGAAAATGTCCATAGCTTGATTCTCCTCTCACTTATACTTGTTTTACTCTAGTGTATACACCGTTGAGTTCAAAGGCATTACTCCCAATTTACACAAACGTAAGCAAGAGGAGACTCAGACTGTACAGACTGAGTAATATTTTGCTCTTATCTATTTATCTTGGATCAGTTTACACTAGCAATTTTTTTTAACAAGCTTATTAAAAATAGAGGCACAAAGCAAGAGAAGAATCTATATTCTCAAAGGCCATGTTTCTACAGCTTGGAAAAATAAGACTTTTGAGGCTCTGGGCAAAAATTAAAAAGAGGGAATTTTCTGATCTGTGTCTTAAATTAAGCCATATTTCTGTCTGTAATTACTAGGAAAATTCTTGATGTTACAAGTATTTAAGTCATAAATACATTTTAATAAGTAGATATTGTTCAGTCTTGTCAAAGAGGAAAAAAAAAAAAGAGCCCTTAGACAAAATTAAGCTACGGTATATGATAGCACAACACTTGGCTGAGATTTTAAAAACTGTATAAAACATCTAGATTCATTATACAGGATATGGCATCTGTTATTGTTCCTTTTTCAGGCATTACTTATTAAATGTATGTTATTTTAGTTCTCTTTTATAAATGTTAAACATCAATGGCGCATGAGTATTTTCCAGTAAATAGGACATTCAAAACCTCACTTAAATAGCATACTGATATGATGATGCACCTTGAAAAAAATGCTATGATCAAAAAATGCTATGAACCACTTAAATAGGATGTTTTCAGAAAGAGGTAATGAAACCACACAACGTAGGAGTGCAAGTGTGACACTGAGCAAGAAAGCAGGCTAAATGACCCAAATGCTGCCTTTAAAGACATATTATAAATGGTAATTAGGGCCATTCCTTATAAATAGCTAACGAAGCCATGTTAGATAGACTAGAGCTTTGAAATGCAGACTTGTATTGTTAGAAAATTAGTAGAAGATAGTGATCTTACTTGTCTGTGGTTACCTCTCTCTTGTTAGAGGTTAACATTGTAACAGATGGTTCCTCTTTGTTACTATATTCTATTGATTCAGAGATTAAAAGGGAATATTAACATTTAGATGAAACTTGAGTGTAATAATAAAATTGTCTATATTTCTCTTTGAAGTTTGTAGTAAAACATCTATGAACTGCTTATGAATGCAACCAATTACCTATGTATACATAAGAAATAGCAGGTTTTACTTCAAAGACACAATGCTTCCCCCAAGGAATGCCTGCTGTCAGAGATCTATAAAAGAACTAAGGCCTCAATCCTGTATCTCAGATCTGCTTAAGCTTGGTCAGGGGAAGCTTGAGTCACAAGACTGAGGTCTCCAGCTCCAGTCTAGATTACCCTGCTAATTCTCATGGAAGAATTTGAACAAACTCTATATATGGACCACCTATTTGGACTATAACCCGATGAACTGATTCTGGAAAGAACCTTTTGCAACTCAGCAGCTCACCATCTTTACTATGAAACTGACCTAAGAACTTTATTCATATCTGTATGTATAATCTTTTAATCACAATACTCTCTTTTCTTTTTAATCTTAGTTTAGTTAATAAGAATTGGCTGTAAGCAATTATATGGATAAGATCTGAAATATTCATTGACCTAGTGGGTAATGTGTCCGATTCCTTGGGATTGGTAGAACTTTATATATGATGGACAAGATTTTCAGTAATCCTCATCATATTTGACTTGGCTGCCTGGGTGGGAGCCCAAGGCTGGATTGCTTTAAGGGAACTGTATTTCTGGCTTCGGGGTAACCAGAGAGGTAATGTAGAAGCTGTTTTGTTGCTGCCTTAATGAATCTAATAGAATAACCACCAGTTTTGGGGATTGTCTGCCCCATTCTTTGCAGTTTGCCTGGACTGAGCATTCTCAGCGTGCCCCCCCAGGCACCAACGGTCACAGCAAGCATACATAGTTTAAAGTTACATACGTCTGCTTTGTATCTCTTCAGTCTTCTCTCATGAAGTTGGGGAACAAGTTGCAGCAAAGGATGCAGGACAGACGACTGAGAGGACATGAACACAGACACATGAGCAACAATGAAATCCTGGTCTTGTGATGCAAAGAATGTCTCTTATTATACTACTGGTTTATGGACAAAACATGCAAAACAAAGAACTGAAGATGTTAACTGATAGTTAACTTTTTGGGTACTCTGAATTTATACCTGAAAGATATAGCATATTTATTTAGTCCATGAATACATCTCCTAGAGTGGTAAAGTGAATCTTCTCTACTGTGTTCATTATAGGTTATTGTTTGTATATTGTTTTGTCAGGGGCAAGTCCCAATTCTGACTTCGATCAACCTATGTGAGTGCACGGCTAGCTCTGTGAATATAGTGAACTGTGCAGAGAACATTTTTGGGAAGCTTTCATTCTCCATTTCTGATTACTACTGTTTCTAAGATGATCTGCTATTGTAATAGACAGCTTCAAATTTCCTGGCACTCAAAGTTAATTTTGCTTTAAAATAGTTTGAATCACAGGAATAAAAGTGGTGTTCTATTAAAAAGTAACTTCTAGTAGTGTTCATGCCAGGATAGATATATATTTGAAGTAAAATCAGCAAATATGATGCAGGTCGCCCTATTAGCTTCAGGAAAGACAAATTAAGGCCAAGAGTCTGCAATTCACATGCTCAGGCACATTGATGTGCTTGCACTGATCCCTGTTGAGTTCAGTGGGGCTCCATGCAGGTGCAGCAATGTGCCCCTATGCAATGAATCAAAGGATCAAGGCCTCAGTATGGATTATTTATTACATAAGGAGTAAAATGTTCCGAGAAATAAAGCAAACTATAATTACCTGTATTCATTCAACTAATTTTTAAGCCCAAATTGATCCCCTTGTTTAAACAAGAGAACATGGTTCATAACATGGAAAAACAGTGCATATCTGATATTACTTTTATACAAAGTGCAACAAAAAGGTTGAATTACTATTGTAACAAAAGTTACAGCATATTTAATAGGCAAAATGACACTGTCATTTTCTTTTATTTGTAGGGTACAGAAACAGAGCAGGGGCTTAAAGAAAATAGCATTTCATGCAGTAGAAAAAACATCAAACCTAAACATGAGCGGCCGAAGTCCCAAAGCAGCTAGCAAAGTGCTATCACCAAACTCAGCTGCCTTGGGTCTATGCATGATAATCAACCAGGAAACATATTGACTATAGCTTTAACTGGAGGTTTAGAAAATAACTTGTACTGTGTTCTAGCAATGATGCAGTATATTCCCAATGGAAACATATAGCACAAGACAACAGTGAACATAAACATGACAGAATGATTACCAAAAAGGGAAAAGTCTGAATGTTACACTCTCAGAATGCAGTGATGCACAATGAAAGAGCATGATTGCACATAGAAAACAAATATCTATGTTATGTCTGCACTTTAAAAGCAAGAGCTGATCAAAATGTAGTTTATTTGTTGAGTGATGAGATTTTTTTAAAATATCAGAACATTAGGATATTTGATTTATTCTATTTTTTGTTTACTGTGAAATCCAAAATCTTAATTAGCATCTTATATTTTGCCTAAAATGCTGTATTAGATATATTTAATAGTTTTCAACATTTAAGGCCAGCCTCTCAACTAGTATAAATCAGCATAGCTCCATTGACTTTGGTGGAACAACACCAGTCAACACTAGCTGAGGATCAGGCACATGAGATCTTAATTTCAACATGTAATTATATTAGATATGCTGTTTATAAAATACCAGAAATGAACATGGTTTTATTTTTTCTAGGATAAACATGTGTCTTCTGACACCTTTCCTAGATTTTGAAGTTACAATGTTCAGACACAGGCACCATTCCTTGGACATTCCATTATTTTGTTTAAATGTACAGTATTAAGGATACTGTGTCAAACTCCACAAATTATTAACTTGATTTCCAGCTGGAGAGACTATCAAGACTACAGCTAAGAGGAATACTGTCTTGTTTTTAAGTACAAGCACACATTTGTTCACAAAAAGAGGAGTGGTGAAACTTACCATGATGTCTGAATTGCCTGAGTCATGAGTCTTAGAATAATGAAATAAGAACTGTTCAGAAAAAATTAAAAGTGGGATTTTACTAAAAGACAGGTTAATGGGTTATGGTTTTCTTGACAATATAAGTGTGACCAAAAATATGTGTGACAACCTTACCCTTTTAGTGTTGTCTTTTTCCTCTAAACTCTGTGGGAACAATAATTGGTATAGATGCTTTAATTTCTAAAACAAGCCAAGGTCAGTTTTAGTAACATTATAAACATCTTGGTACTTTCTTGGAACATTTTACTCTTTTAATAATCACATTATATTTCTTAAGTTGTCAAATTAACTGCTGCTTTCAAAAACTATTGCGTACTGATTGCTTTCCACCAGAAAACTTGACTAAATAAGTCATTTTTAGTCATTACATACATTTCTTTACAATCATTAACATGCTACTACTGGGCCACTTTCTTCTTTCCACTATTCAGAATAGGAGAACTTTATTGCTTTGACACTAATAGACTTAAAGGAGTTCATGTTTTAATGATTCAGCAAGGTGTGAGGCCCCATTCTCCAGTAAAAGTAAACTACCAATACAGGGAGGACAGGAGACTCCCCTCCCAGGTAACTGAAGGAAACTAGTTCATTCCTACACTGGAGGCTGTGTGGTTACTCTAACCCACAAGCTACAAAAGCTCCATAGACTGAGTATTCCAGAGGCGGAGAGAGATTGTTTCCCAAACATAGGGCTTGGTCTAAAGCTAATCAAAATCAGTCTTTCAGATGGGTTCAGTGGGCTTTGGATGAGGTTCATAAGACATTGCAGAGTGAGGGAGATATAGATTTATACTATTCCTCCAGGACCTGAGCAGCAACATAACATGCAGCTGGAGGCTGTGGCAAGCTAGTATCCATGGTTATCCAAGGACTGCCCAGCTCAGAAAGCTGGGGATAATTACTATTTGCATGGATCCTCAATTTATTCTAAAGTTTCAGGCAGTTAGTATATTGAAAATCATATTTCAAAAAAGGAAAATAGATTTGAATTTGCACTACCTGAGGTTTCTGTAGAAATCCCATGACCATAAAGCAAAGTTCTTCCAGTGCACTGGATGTCTATTGAAAAGGAAATGTGAACTCAGACACCGGATTACTTATTTAATGGCACTTGAAAAACAATTATAAATAATTAAAATAATATTGCTCTAACTAGACTCACCTCAGGGTGAGGATCTATGATGGACAGGTAAGCAGAACATGCATCATCTATCTGTAAAAATTGAGATGTTACATCTTAGAAAGTCAGACTGAACAGTGAGCAGATAAAATGTATACATTTTCAAATAGCGTTCAGTGTAGCAAAAGGTATGACAGGATTATCAAAATAGGTGGTTTGTATATGCTTTGCATGTACTCTTGAGGTACAAAGCTGGGTTATTTTCTCTCTCTCTCTCTCTCATGTTCCCTGCATGTAAATATATTTTTATTCAAGTAAAAAAAAATTGACTGAACAACTAAGATTTGCACATGCCCAATGTCAGTAACCACACGGTCATATTTCTGTACCCCTCATCCTTCCTCACTTCTCCCACTTCCTACCGTCTGTCACCTTCACTGAGTCATATCTTAAAAGTTAATTGTAAACTCTTTGGGCAGGGGTTGCGATATCTCTTCTGAAGCAGCTGGAACATTTTGGGATTCCAGACTCTAAATAAAATAATAATGCCATGCAGGAGGTACATAGGCCATAGCTCCCCAAGAGTGACTGAATTTCAGCTTTCCTGGGGATTTACTATATGTATATCCCACTGGAGCTATGGTATGTATGCCACCCCTTCTGTGAGACACTAAGCACCCTCAACTCTCAATGACTCTACTGATCTCAGTTGTCACTGAAGGGTCTCAATACCTCATATGGTTGGTTTAAAGGGGATGCTATATATAAAAATCACAGTGCCAATGAGATATATTCAAACTCAGACCAAAGGGCACTGCTGGAGGTGTGACTGATTGACTGTGGACCACCTACATAACATATAACACCAGTGACAGGAATAGACACTTATTGATCAGTTCTCAAGTAATCCAGGACTGAGTGAGGAAAGGGAAATAGGGGACTCAAAGGCATATGAATTCAAGTAATTAATATTTTCAGTGAAGAAAGTTCAAGAGTACAGTATACTCCCATTTATCCAAATGGCCTGGGGCGCATCCAAAATCTTCAGATAACCAGGTGCTTGGATGGAAGTGCTATTTTAAGCTGCAGTTTTGCTGATACAGACATATGGGGAATGAAGGGAGTAATGCTGCTGTTTGCGTAATACTTTTGCTTTAGATCCAGCACAGATCTTTTTTTTTTTTTTGACATGATCCTGCCAATATGCTGTTGCTGTTGAAATAGGATTACATCTCAGTAACTGCAGGTAACTGTTCAGAGCCACTATACAAATATAAAGCTGTTGATTAGCACTAAGTGAGACCTTATTAACAAGTGATTGAATATAGGGCTACATGGGGGACACAAAATGTGGCTTCAGATAACTAGGATTTTCAGATTAAAGGAATTCAGATAACTGGAAGTATACCATATTTTATAATGAAAAAGGAAGGGTTACCAAAGCCCAGAATGCAGGACCAGGATAGAATACTATAGGGAATTTTTTTTAAAAAGAGGTTTAACTTTTCATGACAGTTTAAAATTTGTGTCACATGCAACGTACAGTAGCATGTGACACATTTTCCATAAAATAGCCTATATTTTTTGTCCAGATGACAAATACCTTTTGCAATCACGCTCTCAATCATGCATTATGTTCCAGGGAAGTGGTTTTCAAAAAAGACTGGACAATACAATAAGTTCTATAACAAATATCAGAGATAAAGAACTCCAAACGCTACACCTTGGCAAGCACAAGTTACAAAAGAAGATACAAATAATGTTGGTTCAGGTGCTTTAGGAGAAGCTTTTCTGCTCAGAAATTAATCATATGAAAAAAACATTAGGAGAGATTGAGGGGAGGCGAGTAGCTCACCACACTCCCTCTCCAAATAGCCTTTTATGTTCAAATGTCTCCTCCCCCTCCCCCTTTTCCTGAATCTCTGTGTCTCTGGGAATACTAATAGATTATTAAACGTTGCTACTGTGGACTTAGTGTTGAAAATGTATAGGTGTAAAGCAAAAGTGGATAAAATAGACCAATTCAAAAATCATATTTTGGGATCCCAGGCTTTAAGCCTGATTCCCACCTAGGACAATCCCTTCCTGCTGCTGGAGGTCTCTGTTAGAGGGTTACTGTAATTCATAAACACTAAGCAAGATAAGCTGTAGGCCATCTTGGTCTCAATGGAGAGCAAGACTGAGAATCTATCAGCCAAAATTTACTTTTAAATGGTTGAGTTGAGAAGAATCTACAATATCTAGACTCGGAGAATGCTAAAAACCAAGAACTCACATTAAAAAAACCCTATAATTTTTATCTTTGCAGATGTATCTCCTCAATACCTGCCTTTTCTTTTCAACATCACAAGGGTGTTATGATGATTAAAAATTGTGAAGTGCTTAGATACTATAGTAATGTAAGGACAGAGTACAAGTGCATTAAATTCCCCAGCAACCAGGGTGTGAGATTCTGGCTCATGTAGACATACTGAGTTAGCTTTAATCTAGCTAGCTTGGGTCCCAGAGTAGCAAAGCTGCAGCAGCACATGCTTCAGCATAGGCTAACCAGGCAAGTAATTACCTAGGGTCCAGGGTGGGTGTATATAGACCATGCTGAAGTATGTGCTGCCCCAGCTTCACTGCTTGGGTACTAAAGCTAGCTAGATTAAAGCTGGTTTGGATATATCTCTATGAGCGGCACTCATACCCCATTATTGCAGTCAAGACATAGTCTAAGAGTAACACCTGGCAAGTATTCTGTTATTCTAGGGATGCTGTCTCTTGAGTGATCTGCTAGTAAGAATTAAAAGGAACCAAACGGGACCGCTGATTCTCATAACCTAAACAACTACCATGATTTGGAGGATCTTACTACCAGGAGATGGCTGTATCTCTTTTATTAGTTTGCAGTCGTGCCATATATAATCCAATCCCACATTAATTTTGCTGTAAAACACACACTTTGTAACTGTTTGATTTTGTTATATCATTCTATACAGAGTTCATCATATTATGGATTGATCCTGCATCCACTGAGATCAATGGGAATTTTGCCTTTGTCTTCAATGAGAGCAGAAGCAAGCCTTTTGTTACAACACGTCTAATTCGAGGGATGTATAAAACAAATGTCTTCTACGTTTCTGATTTTTCATCTAAACCCCTAAGTGGTTTGGGACTCATTTTCCTGAGACACTGTCCATCAACTCATATGATCAGTATCACAATGGTTGTATTCGGTGCTGGTGTTTGCACTAATACTCCTGAGTTTAAAAGGGAGCAGAGGCTGGCAGCAAGGCATTCCCTGGGAGGGGTCTGACTCTGGAACTTCCTCTGTCCCCACCCCCTTGATCCACCAGAGCCCAGATCTGTTAACTTTCTAAGAAAAATTTTGCATTATTCATTAGGTTTAAGCTTACAAGAAAGTATAAGGCTGCTGTTTTATTAGTACTGTACAGGGCCAGCTGTGCTGCCCCAAGCAAAAAAAAAAAAAAAAAGGCCCCCCCCCCCCCCAAACCCCCCCCCCCCAAACAACCCCCCCCCCCCCACCCCCACCGAAACACCCCCCCAGCATCGCACCGCCCCGCCAAAACACCCGCCCCCCAGCGTCACGCCGCCCCGCCGAAACACCCGCCCCCAGCGCTGTGCCGCCCTGCCGAAACACGCCCCCTGCCCAGAGCCGTGCCACGCTGCTGAAACAAAAACAACCCACCCCTCGGAGCGCCGCCCAGCCGAAACAAAAAAAAAAAAAAAAAACCCGAGCGCCCCCCGCCACCCCAAGATTGGCCACCCTTTACAAGGTGCTGCCCCAAGCATGTGCTTGGTCGGCTGATGCCTGAAGCCGGCCCTGGTACTGTATGCACATCCTTTTAGAAGAAACATCTTGAACTTTTACTAGTAAGTTTACTGCATGCATATATATATAAAATGCATCCTCTTCCTATGATCAGTCTCCTGTTTTCTAATAGCATATAGCACCTTAAGGATGTGGCGGATGTGAGTGTATGCATATCCTGAGGTAAAGCCCTTCTGAATGTTATATGTCAATGCTTTGTCCGTATCACAAGGCACAGAACAATGCACTCTGGCCACCTAACACACATGTAACATATTGTAATCAAAATACTTGTACATAAATCTAAAAACCCAGAACTGAGACTACAACATGCTATAACATCAGTCAGCACCCACAATGTTAAAATATATAATTGAAGCAGTACATAATCCAATATCAAGTGAACCAAAATGATAGGATGTGATTCAGTAAGTGTTTTAGTACCATATACAGTATCTTTGGAGTAATATCTTTTGCTGTAACAATCACTACATTGTATGTATTCTACATTATGATTATACGTATTTTCTCTGTGGCCCATAAATATGCCTAATCATTGCCAGTTACATGAAAGCTTGCCTTCCACTACCAAGTCTAGCTCTGCATGAGCCAACACAATTTGTTTCTTACTCTAATGACCTCCCAACTCCCAGCCTAATGATCATTTTAGTATTTGGGTTAAGACAAAATATTTAGTATTCAGCAATCTGAAAAAGGTGGTTGCATCCCATCCCCAAAAATCAATATAGAAGGGTACAATCTATGTAGGAGAGGTAGAAAGGGACGGAGGAAGAGCTCCACCAGTATGTCAGAAATATTTACAGTGCAAGATGGGTACATGTGTGAGCAGTAGGAAGAACACTTTTCAATGCACTCCAATCTGAATCTACTCTGCTTATGATCAGAGATGACTTGATTAGTTCGTGTAGTTCAGTATTTCCTTCTTTGGGGGAAAACCTGTGCAAAGGATGTGGAATGCCAAAAAATAAGTCTCTTTGATTGAGGATGTCAGGAAACTATGGCAGCTCTCAAACTCCAGCCATGTAGCAGGGATCATATGGAGTATATGGCCCTGCGTGAGGAGGGGCTCTATGATAATGCATCAGTGGTGTTCTGATCTTTTATACCTGCCCCTTATACAATAAATTAGCAAGAATCATCCACAACTGCCAAACTGTAGCAGAATATTATTAAAACACATGGTTGATCCAACACTTGAAGATATTGCTGCTTACTTCATTCCACAGCTGCAAGTCTTGTTCTGCCTGTAGTTCTTGAGATGGCACTGGTACACCTGAAAACAGAGAGAGTGATACCATAGAACAAAGGCTATAATTATTCTATTTATAATGATTTTTCTCATATATATAGTATCTCATATATATAGTCTCATATAGTATGTCAAGTAGTTTATATTGCTAAGGATTTGATGCCCACAATACACTGTTAGAATGCACAAAAGTGAAAGATACAGGGAGTTACAGTATACAGGAGCCTGTGGCCGCAAACATTATTATATTTGCTCCAATTGTTTCTGTCTGATGAAGTTACTTTCTTCATTGGAGCAGAGTTCCTTTTGCCATTCACAATACAGTTGCAGAATAGCTTTCTTGAAGAAAATGGAGTTACACAAAGGTGGAAGGTGGCCCAATACATTTTAGCTATTCTAGCTCAGATTTCATGTCATTTACACTGCTGATGTAACTGACAGCGGATTTTGACCCTCCATATGTAAAAGTTGTGGAACTCATTCTATTTCTATCATCATTCATGCTGATGTAACACTGTGGTAAGCTGTAAGTAGCAGGCTGGAAACATTGTCTAGCAGTCCCAGACAACTAAAATCCCAGTCTAAAAAACCATTCCAATTCTTCTCAAGTCCCATAGCTCTCCAAGAGCTCATCTCACTCGGTGCATTCATCAAAGAACTGAAAATAGTAACTATAGCTCTGACTTGTTAATTTATTGTATATTACACTAAACATATGTAATATTGTATAGGTTCACACATGAAACATTTTTATGTGTATTTTGTTTAGTGGTACGGATAGCATTTGATTTTGACTTTTTGAAGGCGGCATTTTTGACAAGATAAAAAAATGTTGCATATCAGCTTTGCATTCTCTCTCTTTTGAGTGTATGTGGAAATGCTAAGATTGTTGTAAGATAATAAATATCTGTTAATTATTAATTTATGTGACACTGGAAAGCTGGAGCCAAGTTTGTGTTTTGCCTTACAATTTACAGTTTGTTGCTATGTGCATTGAGGGTAATATTATTGTTGAATTGAAAATGAGTTTCTCAGGGAGCATATTAGTGTGTTGGGATGAAGGAGTATTGTGATGGTAATGGGCAAATGCCTGGAATTTAGTGCTGAGTTGGGTGTGAATGCTGCCTTAATTTATGCCTAGAGCTAGTTGGAAATTTCTGTCAAAATGGTTTTTCATTGGAAAATGGAAATTTGTCAAAAGAAAAACATCTCACGGGAAAGGGTCAGTTCAGCTGAAACTTTTGTTGGGAAAGTTTCTCAGGTCCAGGATGGAATTTCTGATCTTAACTGGAAGAGGAGGGGCAAATGAGCAACAGCCTAGTGGCTAGTATCAGAGGGGTAGCCGTGTTAGTCTGAATCTGTAAAAAGCAACAGAGGGTCCTGTGGCACCTTTAAGACTAACAGAAGTATTGGGAGCATAAGCTTTCGTGGGTAAGAACCTCACTTCTTCAGATGCGCCTAGTGGCTGCGGCACTGACCTGGGATATGGGACACCTAAGTTCAACTCCCTGCACCAAATCAGACAGAACTTAATTGAACCTTAACTTCCCAGGCAAGTGCCTCCACTACCTGGCTAGTCTGGGGTGGGTCTCTCTCAGTCTCTCCTTTTGAAGCTGTTCCATTTTGTACAACTAGTTAAATATTAATTCAGCACGACTGACTCCCTCCAAATTAAGCAGAGCAGAGATCTTAATGTGCGTACCCCACATCCCAGGTGAGTGCTCTAATCACTCAGCTATTGGTTATTCTTCTCTCACACCTGCACTTTTCATAAAAACTTCAGAAGGTCCCAGTTTCATCCCAATATGGAACAGGAAAATTTTTGAAATCTCAAACATTTTGGCAGGATAGGAAGCCATGTCCCCCCAGCCCTATTTACACCTTCCTTGCCTCTCAGTGTTTACGTTAGTTGCAGGAAATACACTGTAGCAACCTTAGCTACAAATTAATGAATTTTTTTGTGTTCAAATTTCCTGGTTTTCTTTTATGTTTTTAATTAATGTATCCAAACTTGGGTGATATCTGGAGCTGGAGAAAGGACCTATTTGGAAAGTAAAGCTGCGGAGCAGATAATAATCTTATCTTCTCCATTTAAATCTTTGTCGATCAGGAAGAGAAAACTTTCATTGATGCTCCAGCTGCTTCTGTCTAGCTCTCAAAGCTTTTCACATGAAACAACAGGAGCCTGACAGAATGAAAAGCTTTGAGCACCAGGCAGGAAAGTTTCAGTATTGGTTAGAATTTTCTAACCAGCAGTATAAACTTTTCAACAGAGTAAGTACAATTGTTTCACCAGCTCTGGAGTTTCCTTCCCCCTTCCCCTGGCCAGCTCTATTCCCAAGAATTTAGGATATATCTACACTATAAGCGCTACAGTGACACAGCTGCAGTTACACCACTGTAGCATAGATACTTACTATGGTGACAGAAGGATTTTTTCCAATTGCTGTAGTAAATCCATCCCCTCAAGAGGCAGTAGCTATGTCAATAGAAGAATTCTTCCATTAACCTAGCAGTTTCTCCAACCAGGGCTTAGGTTGACTTAATTAGGTCTCTCAGGGTGTGCATTTTTTCACTCCCCTGAGTGACATAGCTAAGCTGACCTAAGTTTTTAGGTGTAGACTACGCCTTCTTCAGTCTCTATCCCATGCTTTAAGCCCTAGACAGGCACTGTCTGTCCTACAGCCACCATCACTGCCCCCTCCACTGCCTCATCCAGTGTTCATCTTGTAACCTAGATGGACTTCATTGATATAAATTGTATACAATTTTGCCATATATGGATGAAATATCCATGTATAGAAATTATGTGTAGAAAAATTAAGCACTTAAACCCTGATTCAGGAAGGCATCCCTATTCAGAAAGGCCACTTATGAGGAAATCCAAAGACCAGGCTAACTTTGTCCACTACAAATTCATTCTCTCATCTTTCAGTTCTTCCATTTTCCTCATATCCAGGCTATGTCTAAGTTTTGCAAACTTTCTGCATAACATCTCTTTCCTAACTATCCACACAGCTAAAACTCTCATCTCGGTTCTCAGTCTCTAGTTTCAATTACTTCTGTCTGGCCTTGTCAGTCTTGCCCTACTCATATCTGTTGAGAAAGCTGCTGCAAAGATCATTTTCCTAGCCTGTGTCACTTTGACCATCTCAACCCTTTCTTTGCATTCCTCCACTGGCTCCCCCTTCTTTATCACATCAAACATAAGCTACTAATCTTCACTTTAAAGGCCCTTCATGGCCTATCCCCACTCTACCCATCATCTCTCATTCACTACTGAGATGTTGATTCCCAACTGAAATTGGCCCATGATACCAGCCTCCATCAACCACTTGTTACATTTTCAGTACGTACCTTTGAACTTTCTCTGATGCTGCCCCTCATGCTTGGAAGGTGCTCCACATAAATATCTACACAACAAACATTATTCTCCTTCATAAAACTCTCCTTTGCCATGATGCCTACAAAAACTTGAGAACAGGCCACTGATGTGCTGAGACAACTGCCTGTCATGCTGAGCAATATGGTCTCATTGTTTCCTTGTATTCCCCTGTTGGTCTGCATCCATCTGTTGTCTCTTATCCTATACTTAGATTGTAAGCCCTTTTTGTTCTCTGTTTGTACAGTGCCTAGAACATGGGCTCCTGGTCCATGACTGGGCTCCTGGGTGCTGTGGTAATACAAACAAATAAATAATAATAAACTTTAAACTCATGGTTAATTTAATTAATGGAGATATCCTATCTCCTAGAACCGGAAGGGACCTTGAAAGGACATTGAGTCCAGCCCCCTGTCTTCACTAGCAGGACCAAGTACTGAGTTTGCCCCAGAACCCTAAGTGGCCCCCTCAAGGATTGAACTCACAACCCTGGGTTTAGCAGGCCAATGCTCCAACCACTGAGCTATCCCTCCCCCCTTAAAATTAACAGCATTGCCAGCTCTCATGATTTTATTGTGGGTCTCCTGATATTTGGAGTTTTTCATAAAGGCACAACTTCTGGAGGCATGTGATTAGGTGGAACTTTCATTTTTTTGTTAAATGAAAGCTAAAATTAAATTTCTAGTCCTCATACTTGCTGAGAAAAGCTTGAAAAAATGACCCACATGCATACTAAAGACTTAAAAACCCGAAAACCCCAATTCTATGGGTTTTTTTAAAATCACATTATTTTTAAACTAATCTACTGATTTTGGGAGTCCTGATACACAATTTTTAAAAGCTTGGGATTTGAAATGCTGAGTTAAGCACATGCTTAAATGCTTTCCTGAACTGGGGCCTTAGTTTACAACCATAAATATGTAGGTACAGTGGAGGATACTGAAGGGGTGGGAATGCTTGGGATTAGAGGGCACTGGAAGAAGGAGCAGCTGGCAAGAGGGTTTCCCAAAGCATGCAGAAAGTCCAGGAGAGAACCTGGTGGTACACAAACGGCGGGACGGGGAAATATCTTCTGTAGCCATTAGGAAGTTGGCAGAAGAGCAACATCATCCTGCAGACTCCGCAAAGTACAGGGGATCGAGAAGACAAGCTCAGCCAGTGAAACAGTGAATTATTTTACTGGCTGAACTGTGGGAAAGCCCTTATCCTGTAAGGAATGCTTTCTCCATTAGCTACATCTCTTTACAGAGTAATGTCAAACAATATAGCTAACACTTTTGGTTTTTAGATGACTGATTTTTAAAATAAGTCTATATGGGAGATCTAATGACGAGTGATGAATATGAAGTTTGAAATCTGAGTGTTGTAAACCTCTTCTGATTATAAAGATTAGAACTATGCTAAATTTTAAAAAGGAGAGATTTGTAAAGGTTCAGAATAACTAATTTAACATAATAATTGTATAGTAAATGTAATTAGGATCTGCTGAACAGATACTGTAAGCCTGGGGATGATTAATTTTCACACAAAAAACACCACCTTAGGATTTAAATCTTGCTTTAACTGAAAATACAACACAGCCTTAGCAATGGGAGGCATCAGTGATACACCTCTACCCCGATATAACGCTGTCCTCAGGAGCCAAAAAAATCTTACCGCGTTCTAGGTGAAACTGCGTTATATCGAACTTGCTTTGATACACTGGAGCACACAGCCCTGCCCCGCCCGGAGCACTGCTTTACCGCGTTATATCCGAATTTGTGTTATATCGGGTCGCATTATATCAGGGTAGAGGTGTACCTCCATAAAGTCAGATTTTACATGCATAAATGTAAAATAAGTAGTTAAAAACAGCCAGCTCTAAATAATTTTCCTCTGCTCTGTATATAGTGTATTTACCAGTCTCTTGAGACTTTTATTTGATTCTTGTCTACAATGATCCCGACCCTGGATCTAGTAATCCTGGTTAGCCCAAACCTGAACACCACAGATAAACAGCCCCTTTGCCTGAGCCTCATGAGCCCAAGTTAGCTGCAGTGTAAACATATCCTGGGACTGTTCACATGAACAACGCTGGCAGGATTACAACATTGGTCCCTACAATTACCAATCCTGGATTCAGGAATTAAGTCTGTGGGGTTTTTTTTTTTTTTTTAAAGTAAATAATTTGTGGCTTACTAATATAAAGTCCAAACATACAAGGTTCTAAGCCTCTCCAGTGAGGAGTACAGAAACACCCAAAAAACCTAACTCTATTCCACTCCAATCTGAAATCAGTGGGTTTTTAGGCTACTCAGCACTTTAAAGGGTGGGCCTGTAGTTTCCAAAATAATAATAAATATATTTAAAATAGGTTATTCAAAATCATCTCAGTTTATTAACTAAAAGGATTCACATTTCATGTGTTAAGTACTCCAAGTTAACATAAATAAACTGACTTTACAGTGTAAAAAAGATTAGCTCTTTCTACTATTTCACTAGTTTAGTAATATCAGATCAAGTCTATCAAGATGAATAGAAGTTGATTAACTTTATGATTTAAAATTACTAAAACTCCAGAATTAAAATGTTATAGAACCTTTCGTTAAGAGAAAATGAAATGTTGCCTTCTTGAGTGAAAATAACTACTGTAGATACAAATATAAAAACATAAGAATGGCCATACTGGGTCAGACCAAAGGTCCATCCAGCCCAGTATCCTGTCTACCGACAGTGGCCAATGCCAGGTGCCCCAGAGGGAGTGAACCTAACAGGTAATGATCAAGTGATCTCTCTCCTGCCATCCATCTCCACCCTCTGACAAACAGAGGCTAGGGACACCATTTCTTACCCATCCTGGCTAATATCCATTAATGGACTTAACCTCTATGAATTTATCTAGTTCTCTTTTAAACCCTGTTATAGTCCTAGCCTTCACAACCTCCTCAGGCAAGGAGTTCCACAGCTTGACTGTGCGCTGTGTGAAGATCTTCCTTTTATTTGTTTTAAACCTGCTGCCAATTAATTTCATTTGGTGGCCCCTAGTTCTTATATTATGGGAACAAGTAAATAACTTTTCCTTATCCACTTTCTCCACACCATTCACGATTTTATATACACCTCTATCATAACCCCCCTTAGTCTCCTCTTTTCCAAGCTGAAAAGTCCTAGCCTCTTTAATCTCTCCTCATATGGGACCTGTTCCAAACCCCTAATCATTTTAGTTGCCCTTCTCTGAACCTTTTCTAATGCCAATATATCTTTTTTGAGATGAGGAGACCACATGTGTACGCAGTATTCAAGATGTGGGCGTACCATGGATTTATATAAGGGCAATAAGATATTCTCCGTCTTATTCTCTATCCCTTTTTTAATGATTCCTAACATCCTGTTTGCTTTTTTGACTGCTGCTGCACACTGCGTGGATGTCTTCAGAGAACTATCCACAATGACTCCAAGATCTCTTTCCTGATTAGTTGTAGCTATATTAGCCCCCCATCATATTGTATGTATAGTTGGGTTTTTTTTTTTCCAATGTGCATTACTTTACATTTATCCACATTAAATTTCATTTGCCATTTTGTTGCCCGATCACTTAGTTTTGTAAGATCTTTTTGAAGTTCTTCACAGTCTGCTTTGGTCTTAACTATCATGAGCAGTTTAGTATCGTCTGCAAACTTTGCCACCTCACTGTTTACCCCTTTCTCCAGATCATTTATGAATAAGTTGAATAGGATTGGTCCTAGGACTGACCCTTGGGAACACCACTAGTTACCCCTCTCCATTCTGAAAATTTACTATTTATTCCTACCCTTTGTTCCCGGTCTTTTAACCAGTTCTCAATCCATGACAAAATACAAGACAAAATTGTATTGTATTGAGTAATTAAAGGAATTAGAAAACTTAGCACGTAGATTTAGGGTGCACAAAAGATATCAGTGGTATTCTACAATTTGACTCATAATGTTTGTTGAGACTGTCTTTGTATAAGTATCACACGTAGAACACTTGCCTTCTAACATTAGAGTAATATGGAGACAAAAAAGATGAAACACTAACAATATTGACAAGGAATGGTACTGAAAGCCTTGCTTATTTTTATATTGGTATATTTAAAATGACGCCACATTCTCTACATGACTAACTATTTAAGACTATTGTAGAATTTCATTTCACTTCACACACAGGATTCACATAAATGTAAACATCTCTCTACACCATTTTAACAAGTTTATGCCTAATCGACGACTAATGGCCACTGCATTTTATAACTTTGGTAATATGATTTATATTCATTTAAGGTCAAGGGGAATTTTGGCTGCACAAAGAACACAAGACTGTACCCCTTGTAGATTTAGAACATGATCCAACTCCCATTAATTACGTTTCCATTGATTTTAATAAGGAGCCAAATCTGATCTGTATTCATTAATCCAATACAGGTATCTGATGATGTGTAGCAATCAGTATGAATATATTTATTTTAACAAGTATGTTCTCTTAAATTAAAAGTATACAAAGTATGTACACTCAAGAAATTCAGAGTTTTGCCCAATATCTCTGTAGCTATGCAATTTCAAAGAGGTTACTTTTTAAAAAAAAAAATGGCCATACCAGAGTACTTAGCATGATGCAATATTTAAACCTCCCTCCTTCCTGGTGTTTTTAAATATCAGACTCACAAATGAAAAGCAACCTTCAGATAAGCAACACAAACAAAACAAAAATACTCACTGTAATGACTTATTGTGTGACATACCTACTCAATGAATACATAACTAACTACTTTGTAAAGCATCTGAAGATATGCAGAATAGAACAATACTATAAAAATACAAATTATATTATAACACCTTTATAAATTCGTAATTTTCAGGTTTAATGTCTTATGCCTTTCAAATGAAATCAGGCTGCAGAATAGTTGATTATTTTTTTCCTGTAAAATAAATTGTTTGAGAACACTGAGCCCATTTTGACTCAGAGTAGCAATAAAGAAATAAATATTTCATGCCTTGTCATTTTCTTTTATGCCAAGTTTTCGGTTTAAAATAATATTAGCTTTAATAAATTAACTTTTTCCATAGTTCTTTCTAAATTTGAACTTCATGCCTTTGCAATTAAAATATATAAAATTGCAGACTTATGTGTGTGAAAATTAACTAATAATCATGTGCATTACTTGTTTTTGTAATTTTTCACTATGATATAATCAGGTTTATTACACTATTCTTGCTTCACATGAATAAAACTGTATAAGCAGTAATATGAATAAGAAATTCAGTTAAGATTGCCACAGTGGTGTCTATAACCTGCCCTGATGTGCTGAGGTACTGCTGGATGTATCTTGGTACGCAGGTTGGTTTGGAGTACTATTCTAAAAGTAATGATAGAGACTCAAACAAAACAGTGGCTAGCAATATTTACAGGACTTTGTGCCACTACAGAGCTTTTCTCTGTGATTTCCACATTATTTTCAAAGGCAAATGAAATGTCTGTGATCTCCCATAGAATGTAACAATCTGGTCTCATTTCTAGAGTTGTTTTAAACCATCCTATACAATTTAAAATTGAAGTATATAAAATTCTGAGACATGATTAAATTAATCCACAGAAAGGACATTGTTCTCTATTAACTTCTATCATGGTTTAGATTTAGAATTTTATAGGATCCTATTGCTTTTATCCCTACCAAAATATTTCCTAGGGACTTCCCCATAAGTGTGTACATTTCTGGGGGGGTACCTCTGTATGTGCTCCAGTAAGTGCTTAAGGTAGCTGCCTGGACTCCCAATTTCGTTGCTCTTAAATTCAAGAGAAGGTTTTCTGTATTCAGGATTACTGCAGGGCAGTATCACTGCACCCTCCATCCGCATGTTCAGAATGGGATGATTAACTCAAACGTCTTGTTCCTCTCCTAGGTTCAGTGCAAGGTTGTGTCCCAAGTCTCCCTTCCGTCCCAGCACCTCTCCTGTGAGCTACAAACATAGAGGAAGCACATACGCTTGGTGGCGACACCAGATTAGGAGACTTCCACTCCGGAAATTTTACTCCTGGACACCTTGAACCTTTTCAGGTAGCCGCATCCCTGAATAAACTGTCACAGGTACTGGGGCGAGTGGGGAGTTGGAGATTCAGCTCCCCGAACGCTTACACAAGCCCAAGCCTTGGATGCAGTGCAGTTGTAGCCCCGGGGGGCTGGAAAGCTTGTGTCTCTCACCAACAAAAGTTGGTCCCATAAAAGATATGCCCTCACCCACCTGTTCTCTCTCTCAGCCTAAGCACCCCGAGAAAGAGAGGGACTCGCGGGGAACACCCTGTAAACCAGCACACCGCCAAGGGGAGCAGAGAAGGGCGGGGATGGGGCTAGGAAGCGGCAGGACCCAGCAGCAGCTAGAGGTACCCCAGAGGAGCAGGGACAGGGTCTGGGGACGGGGCTGCTTCTCACCTTGGCAGGCGCACGTCCAGGAGGCGAGGAGCAGGAAGAGCAATAACAGGGACGCTTCTGGCACGTTGCTGTGGCGCCCCGGCTGGTTCCTAAGGCTGGGCTGGCTGCCGCGGGGGGAGGCAGCGTGGTGCTGAACGGGGGGCTGCTGCTGCTGGCAAGAGCCTCTCCTGAACATGGTGTCTGCCGAAGGGGGGCCCAGCTGGCCCCGAGTCTGCGCCGCGGAGCCCTTCCCTGCCTCACCCGCTGCGTCGCTCGCTTCCCTCCCGCTCTGGAGTCGCCAGGCTGCGGAGCCCGCGGTCCCTTCCCAAACTTTTAAATCTCCCGGACACGTGGACTGCGTCATCCTGACTCATGGCGAGCGCGTCATCCTCGCTTCCCCGCATCCACGCGGGTCCCAGGCCCGCGGAGTCCCACAGCTCTGCCGGGCAGCTCGTGACTCAGCCCGGGCGAGGGGTCCCTCCCCACCCACAGCAGGGCGGGAGCGCGGGGCCCCTTGTAACTCGGCCCGCGGCTGAGTGGCTGGGAAGTGGAGAAGAAAGGCCAAGGCCGCCTGGGGTCCCCCAGGTTCCACGGGAGGGGGCCACAGGCATGGCGGGATCAAGGTATACCACCCCCCCCCACACACACACATTTGGACCCTCTCTTTAACGGATTTTTTTCCATGAAAAACCACCCCAAGCTGTGTTTGTGAAGGGTGGCACACAACGCCCTTCGCGTGCTCCGCTGTGCGAGCCCTGCCTGTTTTGTTGAGAGTCGTTTGTATTTGGTTAAAATACTGTATTTTGCATTGTAGGATGTTGCATTTGGAATGGAGTATTTTGGTTAAAATGACAATTTTTTAAGAAATAGGACCCTGTTAACCCAAAATAAGTGGGTTAGATTTGCACCCAAGTAACTAACGATGTGAATGAAAATCAATGTAGTTATGTGGGTTCCAGTTTCTGGGTAACCAAGACGTAAAACAAGTGGGGGAGAGGTATGGAAAATAAGGCAAAATTCTGGTGTCAGATGCATCCATTTATGTTATTTCTAAAGCACTGACCCCTGCAGTATCTATGCCGACTCTTGCCTTCCATTCTTCCCTACAAAAAATGGGAAAGCAGCACGGCGGAGTTAAGATCTTTAGCCCCCCAGTTCAAGAAGCTACTTAAGCATGTGCCTAACTTTAAGTATTGTCTTGTGACCTGCCAAAATTTTTGGGGAGAAAGCCTCCTGAACAAAGTTTTTTTTTTTCACACTTGTGCACTTCTAAAACGACTAAAGGGATTTATCTCAAGAATCACCTTTGAGAAGAGAGCAGTGGTGGTCAATTTCATCTCTAAAGTTTATGGTGCAGAAACGTTTTAATTAGAACAATTAGGAGGATGGAAGTTCTGCTTCATGAAAAAGTTCAAGATTTTGAAGTGTGGCTTCATTCCAAACTGGAGGGAAAACACAATTTTGAAATTCTCGGTGAAGAAAAAGTATACAAAATGTTTCAAGTTGATTAGAATCTTTCATTTAAATGTTGACTTTTAAAAAAATACATTTTATGTTATAATACAACATTTTTTTCTTCCAAATAAAAATTCTGGTGAAATTGGACTGATTTTGTGAAGCATTTTGACTTCCGTGGAATATGGTTCTGTCACAGTTTATCTGACCAACTAAGCAACTAGAGATAAATTTTCAAAATTGAAACCATTTTAACAACTTAAATGAAATACAATTAAAATGATAGATTATTAAATATAACACATGCAAATTGCAGTGTTTGTGGATTAAAATCACATTGATTCTGGTCTGCAAGGTTTTCCCTGAAACTTCACCTCTTATCCTGTATATACTCTTATTTATTATCTGTGATGCTCATCCATATTACAGACTTCCAGTAGAACTTCAGGGTGAGATTTTCAAAAGCACTCACTGTTAACCTAACTCTGCTCCCATCAAAGTAAATGAGAGTTTTAACCTGTGCACAGGGACATACAAGGAACTTTCCTTCTCCCCAACTCTTGTATGTTGGGGAGTATGAGGTTGATCAGTCATGCCTCTAAGGGAACATGATGCTGGGAAGGGGAGGAGATGGCAAGGCTACAGCGCACAGCAAGGCTGATGCATCTGGGGCCACAATCTAAAGGATGAAACAAATTACTCACCTCACCACCTGCATGCAAAGAGCAGCTGTGGAAAGATTGTGTTCCAGTGAGTTGCACCTCCTGGGATGGCACAGCTTCACACTGTTCCTTATTCAGGGCAGTGTCTTCAAATCCACAATCTTGCCCTAAATTTTTGGAATTTTCTATCAGTCCTTAATACTTTATTTGTGAAATTTTGTTTGTTTGTATTGCAACGTTGTATAATGCTTAAGCAATGACAGAATTATGGACAATATACATGAGCCAGGTACCCTCAAATAGATCATACTGTTATGTTTTAGTGACAGGTTTCAGAGTAGCAGCCATGTTAGTTTATTTGACAGGTGAGGAACAGTAAATGATGGAGTAAGGCTGCTTGATAAGAGTTGGTTATACTGTGAAACAAAGATCTGATTATACCTGCAACAACAATTTCATCCAGTGTCCAATCTTCGCCCTTAGTACCAGTCACTCTGCCCTACCTGTGGCAGATTAGGTATGTCACTAATTGTCCTCTACCGCCCGGAACAGCCTCACAAACCATAAAACCTGTATTCTTTGATCAGTCTACCAACCACTGTACTAAAACAATACAAAATTCTCTGTCATAGCAGTCCTTTTCCTGTTCCCACTGGAGCCAATGACAAAGCTCTCACTCACTTCATTGGAAACAGAATTGGGCCCAGTGTCAATAGACTATCAGTCATCAGAGCATTAAATTAAGTGAATCTGTATTTTAAATATCATATTACTGTGTTTATCTCTGCTTAATGAAAAGTGTTTGTTTTAAATCAATATAGATCATGACTGTGTTTCTGTCCTGGTTTCTGTTAAGAAGTAAGACTTGCCATTTCAAAGAGATTAGCCCAAATTAGTAGGCATCATCTTTGCAAAATATGTCCTTAATCTTTAATTTTGGTCCAAATTAATGAATCAGTGTCCTGTGGTTTGGTCAAAGGAAGGATTTAATTTACTATGTATGTTGTTAATTAATACACATGTTAAATATTGAATGCACCATACAGCAATATATTAAAATATAAACAAATCTGATGTTGACATAGCTATGACTCTTCCAGACATATTAAACAATGCTACAAAATGTTTTAAGAAACTTTTCTTGACCTAAAGCTTGAATTAAACTCAATCTTTTGTTTGAAAAAGATATTTGATAACTGAGTTTCATCTGATATCTGTTTTAACATTGTAATCTAAAATCTTAAGAGCATTTTAAATGAGATTTCTACAATGAGGACAAAATTCTCCAGTAGGATGATCCACCCACTCATCTCTCCATTTCCTCTGGATCTGCAGTAGAACCTTTATTAATCTTCCTATGCCTAACACTTGATTTTGTGTGTTGCCTCCCAAATCTTCAATCCCAGCCCCAAGTTTGGTTAACAGTTGAATTCTATGCATGAGAAAGATCAATAATAATTAAACATGAAATCTGGTTTGTACCCTGAAGTAATGCTGCTGTCCAAACAATGGTCCTCCTCCCCACCCCCTTTTTTTTTCTGAATCCTCATGAGGTGAATTCTTCCAGTATTTCTGGGGACAGAAAATGTCAGTTGATTACTCAGAAAAAGTTCCATCCACAAATTTTAGCCTATATATTCTTACTAATTTTAAAGAACATCAATGCATTATTGTTCTTTCCTGATGGCAAAGTAATGTGAACAGGTTTGGGGGGAAAGGATAATCATTCTGGTCATGTCACCAGAGAGCAAATTCAATTAATAATGAAAAGGCATGTTACCATTAGGCCAAATCTGAAGTCTGCACTGAGATGAAATTTCTACTGAAGTCAATGGGAGTCTTACAGAATAAGCATAGTAAGCCAAGCTCCACTCTGGGTTTTCAGTGTGCTGTAGCAGAGTTCACAAGGGATATTACTGCATATCAAGTTTGTGTGCTGTAAATTCACACGTTGGCTTGCAAAGCGGTAACTTGCCATATAAAAAGCCCCAAGTATTTAGAAATTCACCCTTAGTTTTCATAAAGCTTTCATAGTTGATGATGATTAACTTTGTCCTGAAAAACTATAACAGTAATTTGCATAATTGCAAGTAATACAACATCCTTAATAGGAGGAGGAGAAAATATGGCATGCTGTATCTGTTCTTGTTTGGGTTAATTGCTTGATGAAATTGATGTTACCCAGCTTGCAGGAATAAGGCACATCCTTATTAAAAGGATATTTCCAGTTTAGGATGTTTTGGAGTTCATTCCTTTCTGTGCTCTGATGACTGAAATTAGTTTCACTGGAATATTTGCATTCTTCCTATTGTTGATTGACTAAACACTAATTCTGGCTAATGGAGAGGAAATCAAACAGCTGAGGATGTAAAGGCACCATTGTTTCTGTCACCAGAAGAGTCAAGGTCAAGAGATCCATCTCTGAATCTATCCAGCTTTAGTGTACATATAGAGAGCCTGTAAGAAGTCAGTCCATGCTAGTGGTTTTGTCACTTCATTTGTACTCATATAGTAGGGAATTATTACACCCATATTGGAACGTAAACACAAAGAAGTGGTATCTACACTTGGGTTTACTTTACCAAAAAATTCCCATCATTGCTACCACCAGTCCAGCTACAGCAATAGTAACAACAGCAGGGGGCAATGGTGGAGACCAGCCTCCAGTGACATTAGCTCCAGGCCTAATCCTTCCAAGGGCAGGTCTACACTTCATGATGCTTAAAACACAGACATCCTGTCTACACTAGAATTCCTACACAATTTTTGGGAAATAAGTCTAGGGTAGGCAAGGCCATGATGGTCAGTCAATCCCTACTCAGAAGACACTTGGGTCTGATGTACTTTCTTAATATCTTACTGACAGCATACTCATAGTAAGAGTATGAAGGGGCCAGAGGCAGAACCATGAAGTTCACCAGAGGGTTGGATATGAACAATCAGCATCTCTGATTGAGCTTTTGTTGCAACCCAAACTGACTCCAGTTTGACAAAAGCCTTTAGTTGCATCTCCTTACAAGCAATAAATTCAAAACCAAAGTACAGACAATGCAGGGTACAATACTTCCTAAGTTTCCCTAAAACAGTGGTTCTCAAACTTTTGTACTGGTGACCCCTTTCACACAGCAAGCCTCTGAGTGTGACCCCCCCACCCCTTATAAATTAAAACCACTTTTTAACATATTTAACACTATTATAAATGCTGGAGGCAAAGCGGGGTTTGGGGTGGAGGCTGACAGCTCACAAC